GGTCCTGGGCTTTTTTTATTTGTTAGAATCTGTATTAGTGTGTCAATTTCATTGTTTGTTATTGAGTTCTCAAGCATATTTATGTCTTATTAGGTTAGTTTTGGTAGTTTGTATGTGTCTAGCAATGTGTCCATTTCTTCAAAGTTTGCTTATTTCTTTAAAAATTTTCAAAGTTGTTACTTTCTTCTGGATTTCCACAGTGTATATTGTGATTTCACTGTTTTCATTTCTAATAGCATTTGTGTGATTCTTTTTTCACTTTCTCTTGATAACTTTGGCTAGGGGCTTATCTAGTTTTATTCTTTTAAAGAATTTCATTTCTTTTTCTTAGTGTTTATTTAGTCTTAGTTTCATTGATTTCTGCTTTCATCTTTAAAATTCCCTTTTTTCTATTTGGTTTCAGGCTGATTTGTTGTTTCTCAAGTATTTTAAGATTTTTCATAAGGTTGTTTATTTCGGCAAAGTCTGTTTTCTTAATGTGAGGATTGATTGCAATGAATTTTCCTCTTAGAACTCCTTTCATAGTGTCCCAAAGGTTTTGGTGAGTTGTACAATCATTGTCATTAACTTCCATAAAATTTTAATTTCTTCTGTGACCCATTGGTTGTTTAGGAGTGTGTTGTTAATTTTCCAGGACATTTTGCCTTTTCTGAAATTTCTTCTTTCATTGATTTTTGTTATCGCACAGTGATCTGATACTATGCACAGTATACTTTGAATTCTTTTATATTTGCTTAGCAGGCTTTCTTGTCAAATAATGTGTTTTGGAATAAGCACCATGTGCTGCTGAAAAGAATGTAGTCTGTAGAAGGGTAGAATATTCTGTAGATATTTATTACATCCCTATGTACAAGGGTATGGTTTGGCTCTGATATTTCCTTATTGATTTTTTTTGTTCAGTTGACCTGTTTTTTTTGTTTGTTTGTTTGTTTTTTTTTTTTAAGTGTTAAAATCCCCTACTATTATTGTGTTGGTGTTTACTTCGTCTTTTCATTATAGCAGTTTTTCTTTTCTGAAGATAGATTATCCAATATTAGGTGCTAAATATATTAATGTTATCTCTTCTTCGTAGATTGTTCACTTGTATGTAGTGATCTTTGCCTCTTCTGGTTAGATTTAGCTTCTTATTTACCATGACTAATATTAGATTACTACCTCTACTTGTTATCAGAGTCCTGGTGCATGGAATATTATTTTCCATCCTGTAATTTTTAGCCTATGAATATGTTTTTGGATCAGATGAGTTTCTTGAAAGCAACTGTTGAATTCTTTTTTTTTTTTTATTCACTGTGCCAATTTGTGCCTTTTAATTGGAGAATTCAGGCAATTAACTTTGAAAGATATAACTGAGATGTGTTGATTATTTACTATCTGTCTTTGCTTACTTTATCTGTTGGTGAATACTGTGTTTTTCTTTTTCTGGCTTTTTTTATTGCTCTTTATCCATTGACTTTACTCTTGTTTTTAGCACTGTCAGTTTCATTATTTCTTTTAAGAAATCCACAGTTATAGTGTAAGCATCATAACAGCATAAGTAATGACCAATAGTTAACATCTACTAAATGTGATGGCTATATCTCTTCTAATGGTTAAAAAAGCATTCGAAAATAATTTTATAGAATAAATTATTTAAAGCCCAGGGAGTTAGGGCCCAGGCTATGACAGAAGTGGGTAAAGAAAAGGAAAAAAAAAGTGTTGTTGTTTTTTTTTAAAGCCTCTTGCTATGTGGTATAGGAGGGGGGCACAGGATCCTAATATTGATAGAGGTATATTATATATTTAGATGCAGATAACAGAAACTTGGGTATAAAAATCAATAGAAAGAAATGGGGATAAGAAATGATTCTGTGACTAATAGAAATATTAGAGAAGTTAAAGGGAGATAAATGAATAAGGAAAGAGAAGAAATGTAGGGATAGGATAAGAAATAGGAAAAAACAGGTGAAAAGATATGGATAAAAGTAAGAGGAATAAAAAGAGACAGGGGCAATTTCCTTATCTTCTATAAGCTATATTGAAAGAAAAAGGCAAGAAGAAGAAAAATACATACACATATACTTATAAAAGCAAGAGGCAGAAAATAATGGAATAAAAATGAAAAGATGAACAGAACTTGGAAAACAGCAGAAAAAAAGCATTTTTTTAATTGTTTTGGACACATCGCTGTTTTCTATAGCTTACAAATAAGATGCAGAACTCAGATCAAGATGTGTCTTTGCTTGCACTGGAAATCTGAGGTGGCAGTTCACTGCCAGAATGATTCTGGTTGCACACGACCACATGCAATAGGGACAGGGCACCGATGTTATCTTCCAATTCTTTGTAACTCAGGCTGAACCTGACCTATAATAGCAGGATCCTAGTCCATGTTCACCAGCTCCAGCTCCGTAGGACTTGTCCAACCTGTTGTACAACTGCTGGCTGTCTCCTGTGGCTGTCTTTTCCTCATCCACCCTGAGATTTTGACAGTGTAGAACATGGCTTAGACCCAAGGGGCTACCCTGTGACCCAGGATCAAAGACTACCCCCTTCCTAGTAGTATCCCAACCAGCTCTCCTTCTGTAATTGTAGCAGCAGGCTCTGGTTTGAGTCACTTACTGATTGTTGACTGTGGAAGGCCACTCTGGAAATAGTATCCAATGTTTTCATTGCTACTTTCAACCGCTGATGATTCTCTCAGTTGCAGTGCAATTCTTCCTTCCCTGTGGAATGTTCTACCATAGTCTCTTAATAATGTTGTTTGAGTTAGACTTTTCAAATCAGAATTCAGACATGGACACCACATTGTGTTTGGTTAATGCAGTCTTTTCCCATTTATCATAGTTTCTTTTTTCTGTGTTTCTAGTTGATGTTCTCTGTGTCTCCAGTGTGGCTTCTTCTCTATTCAGCCATGTTGGATTTCCCACTTCCTTCCTTCTCTGTGCATCTTTCCTCAGCTTCTGTGATGTGATTCTTCCTGTAGACAGCCATGTTGAATCTTCTGTTCCAGATTGCCTTTTCCAATGTGGTATCCATTATTTGGCTGTCACTTCTGCTGTTCCATGCAGAGGAGAAAAAATACAGAACCATCTCCAAGTTGGCAGTGACTGTGCCAAGGTGTGAAATCCACAATTACGGAGTTGGTTAGGCACCATGCCATAGGTCCATGTGTTCTACCAGAGTTATGCTGGTCTACTCCACCTGTCTTTATTTGACTCACATACCTTTATTATGTCAAAGAACATAACCCATGAAGATTTTGCAAAGGAAAGAAGGAAACAACAAAAGGAAAGAAGTACCAAAAGACTTAGTAAATTTTAATGGGCATTTTCAAAGGTCCAGAGCACTCTGTCACATTTTAGAGATTTAAGTTCTTAAAGATAAGAAAAAGGAATCACCACAAGCGCAAGTTTTTCTTAGTACTAGCACTACACTTAGACGATCAGCTTTCCCTATTAAAGCAGTGTCATATTTTTAAAAATTAATTAATTATGTTGATACATTTAAGGTATACAATGCAATGACATTCGTCATTGGAAATTTGCACCTTTACATAATCCATCTTTGTTCTTATTTTTCCCCATTCCCCTGCCCTCTCTTCAACCTCTCCACCCCTCCCTATCTACAAAGACTTTGTTTCCATTTTTCTTTTTCTCATGTTAATTCCATTCCCATCTTTTCCTCTACCCCTTCCCCTTCCCCTTCCCCTTTGCAACTTTTCTTCCTATTTCACATTATCTATCATACCTTTTAGTCCTTATTTACACTTTGAGTTTCTGACACTAGAGAAACTTCCGTATTTACACTTATGTGTTGTATTTATTTCACTTAAGGGTATCACCTCAATGTGCATCCATTTAGGTTTAAATGTCTCATTTATCATTCTTTACGGCTGAGTAGTACTCCATTCTACTATCTAGAATATACAAAGAATTTCTAAAAATCAGACCTCCCAGATGTAAAGACCAAATCCAAAAATGGGCATCTGAAATGAACAGACATTTCCCAGGTGAAGAAGTAGAAATAGCGAATAAACATATGAAAAAATGTTCAACATCACTGGTCATTTGAGAAATGCAAATGAAAACAACACTGAGATTCCACCTCACCCCAGAAAGAATGGCTGCTATCGTGAAATCAACCAATGACAAATGCTGGTGGGGCAGTGGGGAAAGAGGAACCCTCGTCCATGCTGATGGGAGCATAGACTGGTGCAACCACTGTGCAAATCAGTATGAAGATACCTCAAAGATGTCCCATTTGATCCAGCTATCCCCCTGCTGGGTATCTTCCCCAAAGAATTAAAAGAATCATACCACAGTGCTATATGTACACCCATGTTCATAGTAGCATAATTTGTGATAGCTAAAATTTAGAAGCAGCCCAATTGCCCATCAACAGGAGACTGGATAAAGAAGACAATGTCATCTTATCCCCAACTCTCACACTTCTCCTTTCATTTAGCTAGTGATACTTAGACCAAGTTGAATATATATAGTATTCTCTTATTCTTTATAGGCAGTAAACAAAAATGTATTTCAGAATTCACTAAGAAGTCAGGATTCTTTTGAAAAAGAAGTTACCTTAAGTTAAAAATACCTGAATCTGTTCCTGTAGATGTCTCAACTCCCTGTGTTTGTTTTCATTATTTTGAATTTCTCTGCACCTGTCATTTGAGTCCAGGAATTTTAATTTTGTTTTTACTGATAAATATCATTTATAACTAAACTCACGATAATCACTGGAATGATGTTTTTGGTATTTTCTTATAGAAAATATGTACTTAGACTTTGTCTTGTTTAGAAATGTTGCGTACTTTAATATTTTTTCATCACTGTAGTCATATTTGCCCTCACTTTTTGCTTGATTTTCTGTAAGGAATATAATTTAATTGGTTCTAGTATAAAGTTTACATAATCAAAGATTCACATTTTCTATGTTCATTTACAACAAGTATGATTATTTTAATTTGCCTAATAGGCGTATCTTTTGTTCTCTTATTCTTTTTGTCAAACTTGCAGACTATTCTTGGTGCCATGAGGGATATGGTCAAACACAGAACTTCTATTTTCATTGCACATAGATTGTCAACAGTGATTGATGCAGATGAAATCATTGTCTTGGACCAGGTAAGAGATTTACTTGAAAACTTAGTATTTCAAAAACATTGAAGTGGTTATAGAAAGAAGAAACTTAAATATTACTTCTAATAAAATATGTAAAATTTGTGTTATTTGAGTGAAATTGAATGCTGGTAAGATTCTATTTTTAGCCCTTCTTTTAGGAAAGTATGAGTATCATTTCAAAGAAGGGTAAACTAATTCACTCTTTTTTTTTGAAACAGGGTCTCACTATGTAGTTGAGACTGACCTGAAACTCACTATGTAGCCCAGGCTGGTCTCAAACTCACAGCGATCCTCCTGCCTCAGCCTCCCGAGTGCTGGGATTACAGGCATGTGCCACCACGCCTGGCCTAATTCACTCTTTATTAAAGTATTAAACCAAAAGTTTGTTTAGGAATGTATTAAATTTTGTCATATAAACAGTTTTTCAAGGATTTACCTATAAAATAAATTTCCTGTGGTCATTTTTACTCGGGATAGTATCTTTACTTAGTGTCTTTTGCTGTAATAATTTTTTTTTACCACAGCAATACTTAATGTCTAAGAGAAAATAATCATAAAGTAAAGTGATCATTTTCAAACATGGCCATTTTTATTTTATGTCTTTTTTCTTCATAGGGAAAGTAAGAAAGTAGCTAGCTAGCTTTATCTCTTCTGAGGAAATTAGTATACAAGTGTACTATATAAATGTTCGGAATAAGTCAGATTCCAAAAAAGTACTTGTTTTAATTTTACGAAAAAGAAATTCAGAAAGTATATACTACAAACTAAAGCCATTGAGTACATATTAGATAGGACCAGAAAAAAACTGCAAGATTAGGGAAGGGAATGAGACTATCCAGAGTCTACTTTGTTACATAGCTTTTGCTTTTGGACCATGTTAATGATTTTATATATTCAAAAATAAAATTAAGCCTGCAATTTCATACATATCTATAATCCTAATACTCTGGGATACAGAGCTAGGAGGATTGCAAGTTTCAGCACAGCCTGTGCGACTTAGGGATTTAACAAAATCCTGTCTCAAAATTTAAAAAAGTACAAAAACGGCTGGTGACACAGCTCATTATGAAGGCCCTGGGTTCAATCCCTAGTACCACAAAATTTTAAAATTGGAAAATGAATTCAAAAAGAAAGAAGCAAAACTGCCTATCAAATTGATAACCACATAGAAGAAAATGAGAACTAATCCAAGTAACTGTATTTTTTAAAAATTTAATTCATTAATTTTATTGATACATTTTAGGTGTACAGTATGCTGACATTCATTATTGGGAATATGTACCTTTACATAATAAATCTTTTTCTAAGCCAGTGTCTTCAAGAGTTCTACCTAACCTTTCTTCCACATGATTTAGTGTTTTTCTTTTTGTTTTTTGTTTTTTGCTTCTTTGTGATACTGTTTATAAAATAGCATAATGTTTTAATGTTTGGATATTTGACTCATTTCAATTTTAGTTTAGTGCATGGTGAGAGATACAGGTCTAGTTTTAATCTTTGGCAAGTAGAAACCCAATTTTTCCAGCACCATTTATTCAAGAGGCTATCTTTCCTTCAGTGTAGGTGTTTGGCTCCTTTGTCAAAGATGAAGTGGCTGAGTGTATCTGCAGTTGTTTCTGCATCTTCTATTCTATTCCACTAATCCTCGAGTCTGTTTCTTTGACAGTGCCATGCTTTTTTTTAATCACAGGAGCTTTGTGTTATAGTTTCTAGTAGGGGAATGTGATATCCCCTCCCTTGTCTTTTTTGCCTATAATTGCTTTTGCTATTCTCGGTCTCTTCTGGTTTCAAATGAATTTTTAGATATTTTCTCAAGTTTTGTGAAGTATGCTGTTGGAGTTTCAACTGTGATTGCATTTAATCTATATAGCAGTTTTGGAAGTATGGCTATTTTTACTATATTGGTTCTTCCTAACTTGGAGCTAGGGGTGTTTTTCCATTTTCTGATATCCTCTTCTCTTTTTTCAGAGTGCTGTAGTTTTCAGTGTAGAGCTCTTTGATTCTTTTGTTAGATTGATTCCTAGGTATCTTATTTTTTTATGCTATCATGAAAGGTGTTGTTTTTCCAATTCCTTTGTCAGTGAGTCTGTTATTCATGTACAGGAAGGCTATTGATTTTTGTGTGTTGACCTTGTATCCAGCTACTATACTGAATTTTATTGTTCAGGCTAGAAGACTTTTGGTGGAGTTCTTGGGGTCTTCTATATAGAACACCATGTCATTGCAAATGAGGACAATTTAACTTTTCTGTTTCCTATCTTGTTCCTTTTATTTCTTTCTCTTGTTTAATTGCTTTGTCTAATGTTTCTAAAACTGTATTGAACAGGAGTACTGAGAGTGGACATCCGAACTTGTTCCTGATTTTAGCATGAAGGATTTTAGTTTTTGACCATTTAGTGTGGTATTGGCTGTTGGTTTTTCATAGATGGCTTTTATCAGGTTGAGGCAGAGACCATCTATTCCCATTTTCTGTAAGGTTTTTAATCATGAATGGGATTTTGTCAAAAGCTTTTTCTGCATCTATTGAGATGATCGTATGGTTTTTTTCCTTGGTTCTTTTTATATATTATATTACATTTATTGATTTGCGTATGTTGAATCATCCCTGCATTCCTGGAATGAATCCCACTTGGTGAGGCTGTGTGATCTTCTTGATGATCTTCTGCATTTTGTTTTCCAGTATCTTGTTGAGGATTTTTTCATCTATGTTCATTAGGGAGATTGTCATATAGTTCCCTTTTTTGGCTGGTTCTTTCTGTGCTTTTGGGATCAAGGTAATGTTTGCATCCAGGAATGAATTTGGGAGTATTGCTTCCCTTTCAATTTCACGAAGAGTTTAACAGTAGTGGCATTTGTTCCTCTCTAAATGTCTTGTAGAATTCAGCAGTAAAGCCATCAGGATCCAGGCTTTTCTTCATTGATAAGTTTTTAATTGCATTTTCAATTTCATTGATTGGTATTGGGTTGTTTAGAATTTTTCGATCTTCTCTGTTTTCCATGTTTTTGGTGTATTGGTTCTCAAACTAGGTACTGATGATCCTCTAGATTTCTCCTGGATCCATTTTAAGTTCACCCTTTAAATTCCTGATTGCATTGATTTGGGTGTTTTATTACCTTTTGTTCAGAAGATTGCCCAAGGGTTTATAAGTTTTGTTTTTTCTTTCAAAGAGCCAACTCTTTGCTTCATTAACTTTTTATATTATTCACTTAGTCTCCATTGCATTGATTTCTGCTCTTACCTTTACAATTTCATCCCTTGTATGAGCTTTGGGTTTCTCTTCGTTTTCTAGAAACTTGAAGTTCAGCATCAGGTTGTTTGTTTGAGCTCTCTCTGTTTTCCTAATATAAATATTCATTTCAATGTATTTCCCTTGTAAAATTGCTTTCATTATTTCCCATATATTCTGACATGTTGTATTGGCATTGTCATTTAATTATCGTAACTGTCTGATTTCTTCTTAAATTTCTTCTGTGACTTATTGGCTGTTCAGAAGAATGTTTCTCAGTTTCCATGTGTTTATGAAATTCTTGAGGTTTCTTTTGGTATTTATCTCCAATTAAATCACACTATGATCCGATAATATAGAGGGGATAACTTCAATTCCTTTGCACTTACTGTTCTCTGAGCAAATATGTGGTCTATTTTGGAGAACAACACGTGTGCAGCTGAAAAGAATATGTATTCTGATTTTCTGGGGTGGAAAACTCAGTAAACATATGTTAAGTCCATTTGTTCATGAGTTTCATTGAGTTGTAGTATTTTGTTGTTTATAACTGATAGGTATTTCCATCCTTTTCATGACCTTTTCTTGTAGTTGGATTCTCCCCACTTTGCATTTAATTTATTGTCTTGCCCAATGGATTCATTCTGCTGGCTTTCTAGGGTTGTGATCCTTGTTGTGTTTTCCCAGTGTTTAAAAATTTTTTGGAGTGCTGTTTGATACTCATGCAGTTACTCATGTGCTCTTTGTCATGAAAGTATCTTGTTTCTCCATCAATTTTGAAACATAGTTTTGCAGGGTACCTCAATCTGGTCTGGCGGTTGTTTTCTTTTAGGGCTTAAAAAACTTCACTCCAGATTCTTTACTTGAGAGTTTGCATTGAGAACGCTGCTGTGATTCTGATTGGCTTTCCTTTTCATTTGATTAGTTTCTTTTCTCTAAGTGCTTTTAATATTTTGTTCTTCTGTTTGGTTTTTGGAGTCTTGCCTAATGTATGCCTAGATGTAGATTTTTTTTTTATCATGGCTAGTTGGAGTCTTATCTCACTTACCTGTATGTGAAATTCTTTTCCCCTGCTTGGGAAGTTTTCTGCCATTACTTCTGTGAATACTTTTTTTTAATGTCATTTGCACTCTCTCCTGTTTCTTCACTGACTCCAATCAATCTTATGTTATCCTTCTTTGCATCATCTAGCAGGTGCTGGAGGGATTGATTTTTCATGGTCCCTTAGTATTTGTAAGAAATATTTCTTTTCCTGGTCACTAATTGCAATCCTGTCTTGTGTGTCTGATATTCTTTTCCTGGTCACTAATTGCAGTCCTGTCTTGTGTGTCTGATATTCTTTCCTTACATTGGCTCATTCTGCTGTGTAATTTTTCAGTGAAGTTTTTAATCTCCTGTATATCTGCTTGAATTTGTTTTATGGGTTTTATTTGTTTCCTGTCCTGGGGTATCATCATGTTCCTCAGCTCCTCTATTTTTTTATCTGTGTCTGCTCTAGAGTTATTAATCATGTCTTGCAATATAGACACAATCTCAGTTGTTATCTGAAAAATTATTTCCAATTTCATTTTGTTCTGAATCCTCTTTCGTTGCCCATTCAGGTAGTCCAGTTTGTTGAGTATCACATTGTTCCATCTCATCCCTTGGGTTGCCTTAGGTGATCTAGAAGTCTGGTTTTGAGTCTCGTTTTCTTCTCATTTGAAGAGATGCAGGTTGCTGTGCTTTTGTTGAGGTGACTTTTTGCTCTCCCTGTGGTCTTCAATTCTCACAAAGCCTGATAGA